TCATTATCTGTGAATTTGAGGTGAGCCTGAGCTATGATGTGCTCTCTAAAAACAAACAATAAAGGCTGAGAGCATAGTTTAGTTGGGAGAATGCTTGCCTAGAATGTAGGAGTCTCCAAGTATAATCCCAAGAACTATTTAAAAACTGCAATGTGGTGGCCCACATCTATCTCCAGTAAGACCAGAACTTGAGAGGTTGAAACTCGAGTATCAGAAATTCAAGGTTGGGCTGGCAAGATGGCTCAGTGGGTAAAGGTGCTTGCTGCTAAGCTTGACAATATGAGTTAAATCCCTGGAACCTACATAATGGAGGAAGACAACTGATTCATGCAGTTTGCTCTCTGACCTGGTGCTTGCAAGTGCACACACACAAATAAATAAATGCATAATTATTACTCTTTTTTGGTAGTGGAACTAAGCTCAAAGTTAGTGACTATGTATGCAAGCAAACATTCTACCACTGAGCTCTATGTCCAGACTAAGGAAAAATAGAGTGCTACAAAAGATTAGTTAGTCATATCTATGTAAGAAATACTCCCAATTGTGAGGCCAACATCAAAGAAAGTCACACAATCTTTTTCAAACTTTCTTTTGCTTTCATTTTAAAAATACTTGAAGCCTGACGTTTGTGGTGCACCCCTTTAATCCCAGCACTCAGTAGGCAGAGGCAGGCAAATTTCTGTGAATTCAAGGCCAGCCTGGTCTACAGAGCGAGTTTCAGGACAACCTCCAAAGCAATACAGAGAAACCCTGCCTCGAAAAACCAAAAAAAAAGAAAAAAAAAAAAAACTTGAGGGCTGGTGAGATGGTTCAGTGAGTAAAATCATTTAATGTGCAAGCCTGACCACCTGAGTTTGATTCCTGGAACCCACCTAAAGATGACTGGGAGGGGAAAAGTAACTCCAAAAATTTGTTCTGACTGTCATTTGAAAGCCATGGCATATGGGCCCACATATATCAGGCACAGATACATTTATACAAACAATAATGAATAAAATAAAATTAAAAGCATAGTCCTATCCAAAAAGACAACATATTTGTTAGTTAAAAAGGCTTTCAGTTTGGGCTGCAATATCCAAAACAGCAAAGGCAGCAGTGAAGGATTCTAACAGCCGAAACCAAAACATATTGCTAGAACACACATTAACAGGGAGTCCCATGTACACCATGGTACACAGAAAGTTGGTAGTTCCATTTATCAATTACTACTTTCCAAATCGTCCACCAAACAACTAAAGAACTGAAACAAGAAAATAAATGGAAATTTTAAATTAAACCCAAAAGAGTTGTACATAGTTGCTCATACCTGTAATCTAGTACCCAAAAGACAGAAGCAGGAGGATTGTCATGAGTTAGAGGCCAGTGAACTACAGTATAAAATGCTGTCTCAAAAGGCAAGAAAACAAATACCAAACATGGTGCTATACTTGGGAGGTGGAAGCAGGAAGGTCAAGAGCTTGGGGTCAGTCTCAGCTACATAGTGAGTTCAAGGCCAGTCTGGGCTACAGGAGACCATCTCAAACAACAACAACAAAACCTGAGACATTCTCCTATCCTAAAATTTTTAACCAGTTCTTCTTAGAAAACTACGCTTCCAACTTCAAAAATAAAACAGAAGGTCCTTCTTTCCCTTGTGTGCACTGACAGACAAGGCATGTTTAACTGTAGTCCCAGGTAAACCACAAGTGTACCCCTCTCCCTAGTTATAAGGATTCTTTGCCCTCTTGCCCAGCTAATAATGCTTTCACCTGTCCTCCAGATCTTGTGCCCTTCTCAGACTGTTCAAGGATCTTCTATCTCAGTTCTTCAACTTATTTATCATCCTGTTCTTTTTCCTTTTTCCATTTTTCTGTTTATGTGTGGTATGTATATATGTATGCATGCTTGCATGTGGGCATATGTTCATGTGGAGGCCTGAAGTTGGTGTCCAGAATCATCTTCAATTGTTCTTTTATCTTATTCGACAAAACAGAATCTCTCAAATCAAACCCAGAGCTTGCTCTGGATTTCTCAAGACCCCACCTTCCAAGCTAGAAATGCAGGTGAGCTGACATGCACACCTGGCATTTACCTGAATTACGGGAATTTCAACTCTAGTCCTAACACTTATACAGCTAGTGCTTTGACCACTAAGCCATCTCCTCAGCACTCATTGTTTTTAAAATCTTTTTCTACATTGTATTGATTTTTGTGTACATGTGTGCACCATGGCACATATGAGAAAGTCAGAAGACAACTAATGGAAGTCAGTTCTCTCCTTCCACCATGTTGGTCCCAGGGCTCAAAACTAAGGTTATAAGATTTGGCTCCAAGCACCTTTCCCCACTGAGCCATCATGCCAACTGTCATTCTGTTCTTATCCTGGAGCAAACGAGTCAGCTCTCATTATATCATTATTATCTAGCAAAACGCCTTCAAAATAGTCTTTTCCAGGGCTAGGAATGCAGTTCAATAATAGAAAGTGTTTTCCTAGTCTCCAAAGTCATAGAGAAACCCTGTCTCAAAAAAAAAAAAAAAAAAAAAAAAAGTTGTTTGCCTAGCAAACACACAACCCTGGGTTCCATCTCCATCGTCCCAAAGAAGAAATACTTTGATCCAAAACACTCTCCTCATCTTGAGTCACCTGTTATATTCTGAATATCTTTACTTCAATGTCCCACAGAATGGTAAATATGACAAGTCTAAAATTAAACTCATTATCATTGCTTAAAACCTGGTCTCCCATTAAAGTCTACCAAAGAAACAGACCACAACCTTTAATCTCAGCACTCAGTAGGCAGAGGCAGGTGGTTCTCTCTGAGTTGGAGGCCAGCCTGGTCTACAGAGTTAGTTCCAGTACAACTTGGGCTGTTGTTACCCACAGAGAAACCTTGTCTTCCCAAAAAAAAAAAAAAAAAAAAAAAAAGAAAGAAAGAAAACAGACCACCATCTACTTGGTTTTGTTTTGTTAGGGGGAATGGTATTATAGGATTTTGTTGTTAATGGTTTTTGAGAGGGTCTCATACTATAGCTCAGGCTAGCCTAGAACTTACTATGTAACCCAAGATAGCCTTGAATTTGTGAAAATCTTCCTGCTCAGCCTCCAGTTACAAGGCTTACAGATGTAGCCATCTGGCACTATCCCCTCGGTTTCTAAACCAAAAACCTAGGTGCCACTCTTACCTCCCTCTTCTCTCTGAGCTCCCCATGTCTAATCAAGACCTTTGGATTCATCTGTTCCATCTTTGAAATCATTTACTGGTTCAAATCCTTCTACAACTAACTTGAATTCCTCTCACTGAACAATGAACCAGACTCCTGCATTTTTTTTTTTTTCTCGAGACAGGGTTTCTCTGTGTAGCTTTGGAGCCAGTCCTGGCACTTGCTCTGGAGACCAGGAACTCAGAGATCCGCCTGCTTCTGCCTCCTGAGTGCTGGGATTAAAGGCGTGCACCACCAACGCCTGGCCAGACTCCTGCATTTTTCTCCATGTTTTTTCTCCCTAACCTCAGGAATCTACATATAGCTAGTCCATTTGCCTGGGATATATTTTACCATTCTCCTTGCCCTCCTATTCTAGCTAACTTCTATTTGTTCATCACACTTCAAATGACCAATGACTACTGTGCTCCCAGAAAATCAGGTACATATCCCTAAACAAAGTTCATTACACTCAAGCTTAAGTACTTGCTCATTCCATTAAAATGCTACCCTGACAACAAGGGGATAGTCTAGTGGTGGTGGTGGTGGTGGTGGTGGTGGTGGTGGTGCACACCTTTAATTCAAGCACTGGAGGCAGAGGCAAGTGGATCTCTGTGAGTTCAAAGCCATCCTGATCTACTGAGGGCGTTCCCAGAGGGCCAAAGCTACACAAAGAAACCCTGTCTCAAAAAAACTAAAAAGAGAAATAGAGAGAGAGAGAGAGAGAGAGAGAGAGAGAGAGAGAGAGAAAGGATATATGCTATTTTCTGTATATTTAGTGCCAGGCATACTTTAAGCCATAAGAGGTCTCCTCAAAAAAGACTTGGAGTTAGCAAGACAGCTCAGTGGTTAAGAGGATTAGCTGCTCTTGCAGATGACCCAGGTTCAGTTCCCAACATCCACAATGGCTCAAAAATCTCTTTAACTCCAAGTCCAAGGAATCTGACCCCATCTTCTACCCTCCTCGGGCACCAGACTCTCATGTAGTACATATACATACTGCAAGCAAAATATTCATGCATAAAATAAACAAATCTAAAAATAAATAATGACTGATCACAAAACAGACTAACCAACCTACCCATGGTGCTTTAGTTCATACTCTAAATAGACGACCAATCAAGATGGAACCATGAAGTAGAAAATCTCAGTGAATCCTCATACATATTGATGATGTCCAACTCAAAGCAGCAAAACAATTTCTAATTCTATATTTACTAAATTCTACAGTGCCACATAGTGGTGAGTAAGGGAAGCACACGTTACAAAGGGACCTGTGAGCATCAAAGAGGCATTAGTGAATTAATTAGTTGGGAGACACTAGTTGGTAGATAGCATTCTCAGAATAAGCGGGAAGGTGCTAGGCACCATGGCTCAGCCCTATAAGCCCAGCATTTGAGAGACTGAGGTAGGAGGATTGTCACAAGTTAGAGACCAGTCTGGGCTACATAGTGAGTTCCAGGCCAGCCTTATATACAGTATGAGATCCTTCTTCATTAAGTAAATAGATAAATGTCTTGAAGCTGAGAAATGTCTATGCCTTGGCCCCAGCTTGTACAGAATTGCATGACCTAGGGAAGCCAGACTTACTGAGCTAGTCTGGCTCACTGTATCATTCTCAGGCACTTACATCACTGGGGCTCAGGCTGCCCAGACCATTCTCCTGCTCAGAATCCTTCCCAGACTCAGTGCCCTGGGATGACCGAGAATGAGATGGGTGAATCCAGATCTCCAGGCGCGTAGTGTCATCCCCAACGTGTCGGAAAGTAGACTTCTTTCCTTTACGCCAATGATCAGGGTTCAGTTCAAATTCCTCATGCTGTTTCTTTTCCATCTGTTCAGCCTGTACAACAGACACACAAGCTCAGACTCTCCTACGTCAGCTAACAAGAAAGCCCTCCATTATATGTTGTTGCCTAAAGATTATAAAAGCTAAAGACTCTGATACAGTACCAAAGTAACAGAAAACCATCTTTGTTGCCCTACAGCCATTATTAATTCTATGAACAAGATGCTGTGGAACAGGTACACTCAATAGGCCTGGCAAGCTCTCCTGAAGATCTATTTCCGTGTCCATTCTTTACAGGGGCCGACTCATAAATCAGTGAAGCAGAGTGAGACTATGTGAAGATGTCTTTTAGTGCATTCTTACTCACCTTTCGTTTAGTCTCTTCAAATAAACTCATGAGACTCTCCTTGGCAGTCAGGATAGGGTTACTGGCTGCTAAACTGCGCATATAATAATATACAGCATCAAGCTTCCTCCTCTGTGGAAAGAAGCCAGAGATACCCGGTCAATCAACTTTCTTTTTTCTTTCTTTCAAAAAAGTACTGATGACTGATGGGTGGTGGTGCATGCCTTTTGATCCCAGCACTTAGGAGGCAACGGCAGGTGGATCTCTTTGAGTTTGAGTCTAGTCTGCTGTATAGAGCAAGTTCCAGGACAGATGTGAGGCATATATCCTACCACTTAACAACAGCCCCAACCATTTTTAAAATTTTTACTTTGAGGTAGTCTCTCTAAGTTACTCACTCTGGTCTTGAACTTCTATAATCTAACTAGGCCTTGAACGTGTGATCCTCCTGTCTTGGTCCCTTGTACCACCTAGCCCATCTCAGCTTTCTTTCTGACACCAGTATACCACAGCTGGTATCTCTCCTGGCCTATCTCTCCAACTATAAGGAATTCCAGCAAGAAAATCAGAATGCAATACATTTGAAAAGCCAAGGTAATCAATCACATCAGAAAGTTTTTCTTGGCCAGCATGATTCTTTAATCTTATATGCACAGACACTCTAAGAACCAAATTATTTATATGGGAGAAAAATGAATAAAGAAATCCCTTAAAATATAGACAGCAGCAGGTGTGGTGATGCACACCTTTAATCCCAGCACTTGGGGGGCAGACGCAGGCAGATCTCTGTGAGTTCAAGGGCAGCCTGATCTACAGATTGAGTTCTAGGACAGCCAGCACTACACAAAGAAACACTGTGTTGAAAGAAAAAAAAAAACATCTTTTCTCAACAGCAAATAATCACTGTGCCATATTTAATATTCTATTTTATTTATTTCTTTTTAATTATGTATATACACAAGTGCTGTAGAAGGGTAATGGATACATGAGTGCAGCAAAGGGCAGAAAAAGGTGTCAGAACTTCTGGAACGAGAATGACAACAGGTCATAAACCACCAGATGTAGGTGCTGAGAACCAATCCTGATCTCCAAGAACAGCAAAATCTCTTAACATGAGATCAGCAGTTCTCAGCCTATACACCTCTAACCCTTTGGGGGATGAATGACCCTTTCACAGAGGTCACATATCAGATATCCTGCATATTAGTTACAATTCTTTCTTTCTTTTCTTTTTTTTTATTTTTCTTTTTCTTTTTTTCTTTTTTGGTTTTTCCAGACAGGGTTTCTCTGTGGCTTTGGAGCCTATCCTGGAACTAGCTCTTGTAGACCAGGCTGTTCTCGAACTCACAGAGATCCACCTGCCTCTGCCTCCCCAGTGCTGGGATTAAAGGCGTGAGCCACCAACGCCTGGCACATTACAATTCTTAACAGTAGCAAAATTACAGTTATGAAGTAGCAATGACATAATTTTATGGTTGGGGAGTCACAACATGAGGAATTGTATTACAGGGTCACAGCATTAAGAATGTTGAGTGTTACTGCTCTAGGCCAACTCTCCTGTCCCTGGGCCATTTTTATCATAATTTGCAGGGTTTTTTTTAAAGTTTAACACAAAATAATTGTGTATCTGACAATTAATGAAGTTTGCTTTAGGAAAGAAACCATATCATATATTTTACCACTTATAGAGCCCTGAAAAATTCACTGAATGATTGATTAGAAAAGACAGGAATATTGAAAAATGTTAACAGACAACAAAGATATGAGGAAGACAAAGGAAGAAAAAACTCAAAGGGAATATTAATATGGGTCTGAAGTCTGTGAAAGAAAAAAATAACAATTTAACCAGAATGGCAAAACCCATGGAGGAAATATGGCAAAGCTATTTGAGCAACAAGCAATCTGAAAAGGAAGTGAAGGACATGATTTCTTATCAACAGGATCAAGAAAAATCTATTTAGAAATAAATACTTATACTATTAGAAAAAAAAAAAGAAAAAGAAAAAAAGCAGCTGGGCAGTGGTGGCGCATGCCTTTAGTCCCAGCACTCAAGAAGCAGAGGCAGGTGTATCTCTGTGAGTTCAAGACCAGCCTGATCTACAAGAGCTAGTTCCAGGACAGGCTCCAAAGCTATATAGAGAAAAACCAAAAGAAAAAAAAAAAAAAAAAAAAAAGGAAAGAAAAAAAAAAAGGCAAAAAAAAAAAAAAAAACAAAAAAAAAAAAAAAAAAAAAAAAAAAGGAAAGAAAAAAAAAAGTGCTAAACAAAATTAAAAACCTAAGTAAACAAAGATATATCTTTTTAGGACATTAGGAGATAAAAATAAAAGCACTTCCCAAAGAAACCTACAAGTTCATTACTTAATCAAAAAACCCAATGACTGCTGCAGTACAAATATAAAAAGTTAATCCTAAAACACATACAAACTTCTAAGGGACCTCACACAGCGAAAACAATCTTGAAAGAAAGAAGAGTTGGAAAGCTAACATTTTCCAGATTTTTTATCAGAAATCTACATTGGTATTGACAGTGTAAAGCAAACATGGACCAATGGAACAGAACTGACAGCTTACAAATAAACTCTTATATCAACTGGTTTTCTTTTCTTTCTTTTTTTTTTATTTGGTTTTATGACACAGGGTTTCTCCGTGTAACAGCCCTAGCTGTCCTGGAACTAGGTCTGTAGACCAGGCTGGCCTTGAACTCACAGAGATCCACCTGCCTCCCCAGTGCTGGGATTAAAGGCATGCACCACCACTGCTCGGCCATCAGTTGGTTTTCAACTTGTGTTAAAACCTTTATAATCTCAGTACCTGGGAAGGAAGATGAAAAGAATAAGGCATTCATCCTCAGTTAAATGGTGGGTTCCAGGCCAAATATACTTGAGGCCCTGTCTCAAATGCTGCCCTACCTAAAAAAAAAAAAATTACCACCACTCTAAGGAAGTATTATAGTGTCTTTAACAAATGGAAATATAGCTATACGGAAGAGCAAGGCATGGTGGTTCAGCCTTTAATCCCAGCATTGGGAGGCAGAGGCAGAGTCTGTGTGAGTTTGAAGCCACCCTGGTCTATAAATTGAGTTCCAGGTCAGCCAGAGCTACTCAGTGAGACTCTCTCACAAAAGATACTGTGGGAAAGAAACAAGATCTGAGGGGCTGGAGAGATGCCTCAGAGGTTAAGAACATTGACTGCTCTTCCAGAGGTACTGAGTTCAATTCCCAGCAACCACATGATGGCTCACAACTATCCGCAATGAGATCTGGTGCCCCCTTCTGGCCTGCAGGCATACATGCAGGCAGAATACTGTATATATAATAAATAAATAAGTAAATAAAATTAAAAAAAAAAAAAGAAACAAGATCTGAATGCTGAGGACTGGGTGACTTCCTTAAGGGAGGAAAGTAAAGGGGTCTTGTCTTCTTTCTAGAAAAGTAAACAAGGTATGATGCAGAGTAATAAGCTGTTTCTTAAATAAGTGGAGGTATAAACCAAGTGTGTGGGATTCCCTGACAACTCACATCAAAGTAAGGGAGTCAGGACCTGGAAAGATAACTCAGAGGATTAAGACACTTGCCACCTGTGTCCTAATAGCCTAAGTTTGAACCCCAGGATCCACATGGTGATAGGAGAGAACCCACTCCTTCAAGTTGTCATTATTTTCATATTCAGTGGCATTTACACACACATACACAAAATGGATGGACGGATGGATGGATGGAAGTAAAAAATAATAAAAGAGAAACAAAAGGAGTCTGAGGATAAAAGATGTTCTTTGGACTACAGGTATCAAAAGAAATCAATCTCAAGGAGTTGATACTATTAAAATGTATCTTAAGGGGCTGGAGATTGCTCATAAATTAAGACTACCAGATGCTCTTGTAGAGAACCCAAGTTTTGATTCCCAGCACCCACATGACAGCTCACAACAGTCTATAACTCAAGTCCCAGAGGATCTAACACCCTCTCTGTCCTCCAAGGGCACTGCACACACATAGTGCACAAAAACACAGGCAGGCAAAACACTAATATACATAAAATAGAAAATGAAAAATAAACCCTTTTTTTTGTTGTCTTGTTTTGTTTTTGTTTTTCAAGACAGGGTTTCTCTGTGTAGCTTTGTAGACCAGGCTGGCCTGGAACTCACAAAGATTTGCCTGCCTCTGCCTCCTGAGTACTGGGATTAAAGGCATGTGCCACGCTAGATATGATAGTATATGCCTTTCAGTCCAGTATCTGAGAGGAATGCAACTTCAAAGCCAGCCTGGCCTATAAAGTAAGACTGTTTAAAAATAAATCCAGAACTCACTTTAGTAGCACACATATTAAAATTGGAACAAAACAGAGAATATTAACATGGTCTCTGAACAAGAATGAAGCATCCCATATTTTTAAAAGTAACAGACAAGTAAGTATATAAATTCAGAGGCAGGTGAGAGGTTCAGTATGTACAGTGCTTGCTGCCAAAGCTTCTGTCCACTAAGTTCCATCCCTGAGACCTTCATAATAAGATAGAAGCAACTCTCAAAGGTGACAAATTTTGAAGTCTAGGCTATGTAGTAAAACAAAATCCTATCTCAAATAAAGGAAACTGACTAGAAAACAGTTCCCCTA